TTCACCTGTGACCTACTATTCGAGACCATGTTTGGCCGGAATCGCGATTCGGCGTATGTCGGCTCGCATTAGCCGCGCGTTTGCAGTCTTTTCGTGGTTGCAAGCGTTCAAACTTGTGAGCATGTGATACGATACTGCTCCCATGCATTAGGGTGGATGTCAAGGTCACCTGAAGGCCAGGTCAGGTCATTGACCCTTGATGACCTCGATTCACCCTTTCGAGTTTTACATGTTTCTAGTCTAGTTTTTGGAGCCGAATTCGAATTTAGCAACCATTTGAACATTTACGAAGTAGTTTTGGTGCCTTCGTAACACGTTACGAAGCTGTCAGAGGCGGTTGACACGTACTACAACTACGAAACTGGTTGACCTGACCTGACCTGACCCGACTTGACCTGACTGGCATACATGTAAATAGACATCATCTTTGATCGAAACTAACACGATATTCGTGATCAGCACCCCGAAAAAAACTCACAATAGCCACACTTAACGACGTTCTAACAGGTCTAACCGGTCCCGATTTTCGCGACTTTTGGGTCATTGAACTGATCTTGAAGGTCAACCAATGACCTAGGACCTTAAAATTGGGTATCATCGGCTTCCTTTCGTCACGGGCAACACGCTCGTTTTTTTTCTGCGAAGCTCTAGCTCAATCAGGATCGAAACGGCATGGGGGGGGGGGTCCAACGGACCCCCCCCCCTTATACGTTCGAGGCTGGCAAAACACCAATACGGGCGAGGGTTAAGTCGCAGAGTGAAGGTATTTCCCCTCCTACATGCAGTCATGTTTGCAAATATTTATTCTTTTCTAAAACAGTTTGAAATCCCAGGCATCTTCCATAGGTGTATTATGTATCCGTGTCCCTTACGGCACAGGTGACCTGTCCTCACCCTTAGTATGCATACCGAGACCGGATGTTAGCAGAAAGACAGACGTGTTTGCGAGCGAGAGGTCTCATCGGAATACATGTTGAACAGGCTGCAGTGAGCACCGTGAAACGGTATACGGTCGCCAAGTCTCTCATGTACCGTTGGTCTACCATTGTCTAGTTCTACGGCTCAACCTTAACTTTCGCAGGCAGCCGGGGCTGATAAAAGAGAAAGGTTTAACTTAAAGGCATTGAAAGGTTGTGAAACGTCCGCTTCCTTTCGCAGACCATTTTCTGTGTGACTAACTTAAGTGTTTTGTGCATTTAAATTAGTGATCTGGGACTGGACAGATGTTCCATGGTAACAGTAAATCGACGTTGTAGCCAGGCTCGCCGGTCGTCACTTCGTGCAATTTGTTCCTGTCCCTCGGGGGAGGGCGGGGCAGCACTCTGCACAGGAACCTCTGTTCACTTCACTCGGCGCAGGAGCATAATGAACACATTTCGAGTAGGAAACTAGTCGTTCAAGCTCGACATAAAGAGGCCTGCTGGGTCCAATATGTGCAACCCTCATCGCACCGATTGGCCCCGGTCCGGCCGGCGTTGTCCACTTACTTCTGCTACTCAACTGCAGCTGGTGCGTCCAGTGACGTGGCTGTTCTGTGCAGGGCTGCGGAGTCGATGGATTTTCGGCGACTCCGACTCCGACTCCGACTCCGGCTTTCAAAAACCAGCTCCGACTCCGACTCCAACTCCGGGCAGAATTGTCGACTCCGACCGACTCCAACTCCCGACTCCGACTCCGCAGACCTAGCAGGGCTGCGGAGTCGACAGATTTTCGGCGACTCCGACTCCGACTCCGGCTCGGGTTTCTAAAATCGACTCCGACTCCGACTCCGGTCACAACTGTCGACTCCGACCGACTCCGACTCCGACTCCGACTCCGACTCCGCAGCCCTGGTTCTGTGTTTACTGGCCTTTTCGCTCCATCGAACCTCAGCGTAGACCTCTCCAGCGGCACCCGCTTGGGCCCGTGTATATGTATCGAACCCCTTGTCCAATGTGTCCCTGGCCCACACCCCCATGGCCGCTGTGTGCTGGTGTCCGACAGACCTCCGGTCAATGTGTGCTGGTGGTCTGCAGGGTAAGGTCTTGTACCCATGGTCCGCACCCTCGGCCACTGTGCCCATGGTCCCGACGGTCCTGCGCCCCTCGCCCCTGGCCACTGTACCCATGGCCTGCACCCCTGGCCACGGTACCCCTGGTCCCTCGCCCTGGGCCACTGTGCCCTGCGGTGTGATCAATACCAGATACGGTCATTACCGGGCGGTGGGGCCATTGATTTGCCGTACACACTACCAGCGACCACGGCGCCGATTGGCCGGCGGTGTACTCATTCATTGGCGTGCGCCCTGCCTGCCATGTGGGCGTGAGCGGCTCGGTCACGTCAGGTGATACATCCACCGCCGCACAGCCGCTCCGGCCGTCCGCGCGTCAAGCGTCACCTGCACAGTAGCCGCTCACTCATTATTTACGAGACCCAGCCATTTATTAGACAGCTCCCGGATCTGGCCGACCCCCGAGCTTTAGAAACCCAATCTTGCGCCGTTGGCATTGTTTGTAGATGTTCCCCACGACGAGCTCCTGGATGCAGTCAATTCTCGCGAGCTTCAGAAGCCTGGTGTATGAGCGGCTGTGGCGTTGTTCTTAGCTGTTTCCTATTGTGACTATGCCGACGGTGCTCTATTTTCTGCCGACTGCCGTCAGGTAGCAGGTGGATGGCAAGGCGACACCGTTGGAATGACGAACACTCGCTGGCTAAGAGGCTGCCTGCTGCTGACATACTGCATAGTTATCGGGACAGGGGTCTGAATGACTAAGTGCTTTCATTAGTTTGCGCTTTGTCGGTAGTGCTGCTCCTTGGACGTCCAAACGCTGTCGATTACGGTGGCTTGTCGGGCACCCATAATGTTCGGCGGGCGCCCATAATGTTCGGCGGGCGCCCATAATGTTCGGCGGGCACCCATAATGTTCGACGGGCGCCCATAATGTTCGACGGGCGCCCATAATGTTCGCCGGGCGCCCATAATGTTCGGCGGGCGCCCATAATGTTCGGCGGGCGCCCATAATGTTCGACGGGCGCCCGCGATGCTCGTCGATGGGTACCCGCTCGCCGGTGGAACTCCTCTCCTGGGTAGCACCACGGCCGGGCGAGCCGATACAATCGATGCTGTTTAGAACGTTTTCCCTAGCTCTCCTCCCCGTAGCGGCCTTCCCAGGTGTTCCGAGCGACCTCCCGGGTCATTAGTTGGCGCTGCTTTTGTGGCGTGCCCTGGAAAAGTTGTGGGCATCCTTTACTTAGTAGAACGACTCGTCGGAAAAGGACTGCTAATCAGTTGTTTCTATTTTCATCCATATTTTACGGCCTGTCTGTCGTTAAAAGGCAGTGTTGGAAGTTCTGCAAGTTGTATGGCTCTATTTTATGTTTCCTCGTATTGAGAGCTGAGCTGGATGAGACGCCGCTACTCGCTGCTCCGCTGACTATTCTTTGGCCAACGTCACCCACTTGTAACGTCGATACATCCTCGCCATTCTTAGAACGGCTTTGACGTAGCAGAGAGATGGGAATCCGCCTTTTGACACGGTGTCTACAGTGTCTGCCCTTCTGAACAAGACTGTCATCCTTTCAATGTGACAAGTAGGTACTGGGGATGTTTTTATATGAAGTTCCTCACTGTATGCGAATAAATTTTACAACTGTTTGCTGTTTTTATGATATGCGCCTGACACGGTCACACGTGTGAACAGAGGTCACAGAGAGGGGTCAAAGATCAGAAGGTCCAGAGGTCTGAGTGTAAGGTCAAAGGTCATGTGACCAGGCACCCAGCGATAGTGTGCCCTATGGATCGACCGTCCGCCGTAATGGCACGCCAAGCGACCCTGTACTAATGGCACGCCAAGCGGCTGCAGTCCTTGCATACCTGCAGGCCCCCATTTTCATGGAGTGGCGCCTACTGAGCCGGTATATGTGTCCTATTCCGGCTCGACCTTGGTGGTGCATTTCTTTTGTATACACACATAGCACAGAATGTATAGTGAGGACAGTATCCACGGGGACCAAATGTGGATAGGTGATTGATTGCCTTGCGAATATGTGTATGACACACGAGGCCATGTCTCGGTAAATGCATCAGGGCCATTGGATAGCATGATTTTATACCTTTTCCAGTGCCGAATAGAGTAAGTCCGCGCCAGCTCTGACGATCGGTACCACGACCCATACATGGTGCAGTTGGCCTAATAAAAGTAGCGCCGTGTGGCTAAGCGAAAGTTTCAGTGTAGTAGCCCAGTTAACTGAAGAAAACTCCCGGCGTTGTTGAGTTCTCAGTAGTTGGTGGTTCCATTTGTTCGCACTGTTGGCTTATAGCAAAAGTTGGAACGAGTATGCATGCATGCATCTTGACATTTTTAAGTCGCCTGAAGGAAAGTGTTACATAACGAACACGACACGCGGTTGATAGAGGTACAGGTAGCTGTAACTCCATGCAATACTTGCTCGCAACTGGCCTCCGTATGTGGAGTCACACCCTGCGCTCCAGTCCACCTAACGCTTCCCTTGGTGTATTAGCGGTGATAAACAAGGCGTCGCTCCCTATGTTCTGCATTATTCCAGCAGCGCGCGGCTTTATACAAGGCGCCGGCGCAGTCCATCTCCCCCCTCTGCGTTCTGTATCATTCCAGTGACACCCAATGTTAGACAAAGCACCTGCCCAGTCTATATCGCATCTCTCCTCGTTCTGTGTCGCTCCACCAGTATCCAGCGATGGACAAGGCCTAACTGGACTCGAGATGTTATTTCACTCCGTGTTCGGTATTGTTTCAGCAGTGTCCAGCGATGGACAAGGTGTCCGTTCCAGCCTATCTCATCCTCTCCGTCTTCCAGCAGTGTCCACCGATGGACAAGGTGTCGTTTGGAGCCTATCTCACCCCTGTGTTCTGTATCTATCGTTCCAGTGATGGACAAGACGTCTTTCCCATCTCCCCCTGTGTTCCGTATCGTTCCAGCGATTGACAATGTCTCACTTGACTCTGGAGCCCGTCTTACTTTTGTGTTCTGTATCGTTCCAGCGATGGACAAGGCGTCGCTGGAGCAGGTGAGCCTGCGGCTGAGTATCCGCCGGCTCAGCACGGTCGTCCTCACAATCCCCATGGGGGCCATGATCGCCTGTTTCGTCTCGGCGCACATACACCATGAGGACATCAACCATACCTGGTGCCCGGTAAGGCCATGGGGCTGGACGGGGAGGGAGGCGTTGGTGGGGGTTTGTGGGGTAGGGAGGGATATGTACGCCGGGTAGACGGCGTTATATTCGCTTATCAGTCCGCAGGGGCAGTCTTAGGGTTGGTGCATTGGGTGGTGGTAGAAAATATGGTGCATGAAACATGAGGTGTCATGTTCCTTGACATGTCATGAAACATGACATGTCAAGGAACATGAGGAACCAACTAGGATGGCAAGGGATCAAAGTGACACTTTGGAAGTCCAAGAGACACTAGCCTGGGGAAAGGGAGGAGAGGTAGTCCACGGGGTTATGGCAGTTTATGCCCAAGTACTGGACTGGTATGCTTGTCTTGCCAGTCACATTTGTGGATCGATCCATAATTCAAAATGGAGCAATATTGAGACGTCCAGCCGTGTTTTGTAATTACGCCTCCCTACGAATAACGTTCACTTCCAATAGGTCAAAGTCAATTATAGAGCCCCGCTACATTTCGCCCAGCGCGCGGTCACCTGCCGGAAGAATGCTCTATTCATTTGTGGCATTTCGACAAATTGACTGTCTAAACCTGGACAGGAGCATTTGGACGCGACTCATTGCTCATTAAATGTGAATGCCGACTTCGAGCCGCGAGGAGTGGCCGATGCTGTCGCTCGCTAGGTAGTGTTGCATTGTTTATGCACGGCGTCCAAGGGGACGGAAGGACGCCCGTCCCGCGTCCAGGGTAGGGTGCCCGTCCCACTCGCCGCCCCTGCGGCTGTACTGTATTGATAAGAAACCTGACTTGTGGTGTAGGGCCTAACGAACGATATTACTGTTAATTTATGGATGACATCGTTGATTGGTCCGATATGACACGATGTGCGGAGTGACGCTATGTTGGGTCCGATTAACACCACTGAAGAGAGGGCGCGGGAAGGAGGGACACACCAGCTGTGTGTGGGATGAATAAGATTGGTACTACGGGGATATACCTAAGGGCACCACAGCTACATTTGAAGAGGTCAAATGTCACTAGTGCTGTTGTTCCGGGTGGCGCCCCACTAGGAGATTAGCAGCACCACGGTGGTTGAGTGACACCACACGGGGTCGAAATGGCACCACATGGTTCCGAGCGACCGTTTACTCCGAATGAGTGCCGGTACGGCCTAAATAGCACCACGGGGTCCGAGTGGCACCATAGAGGTGGGTGAGGAGAGGGAGGGGTCGTGTGGCACGGCTAATATCCGGGTGGCACCGCGGTGGGAGGGCTGGGGGAGGGGTCCTGCTGGCAGCACGTGCGGATCGGCTGTCTTCTGCTGGCCATTGTTTGCTCACAGTGTGTGCACTCTGCTGGAATAAATATTGGCTCTGAAAATAGTCCCTGGGCTTTTCGGGGATGTCAGCGCTGTGGGAGGCGCGCCCGGATCCATTTCGCTCTCCGCTCTCAGTCAGTGCGAGTGCACTGGTTTTATGAGCATTTAGTCGTGATTTATTTACGCCTTTTTGTTTGAATAACGGGCGGCAAGATAACTTCGCATTATTGATCACTTTTGAAAGGAAAACTTGTACCGATTTTTCCTGCTGTGATTTGCATTAAAAAGTTAATATGTTTCACAACACGTAAGTCCATGAGACGTATTATTGCAGATGGCTGTTTTGTAGTACTCGTTGTACCACTCTTTTGACATGCTGTCTGCCATCATTCAGCACCACTTTCCGTCCCTCGGAGCTACTTAGCCTTGGCAAGTGTGCATATTTCCCATTTAACGTCGCCGCATATTTACAACCTCATCTCCCCGCCGTCCTCCGTCAGGTGTACAACTTCATTCCGTCGGTGAGCGCCATCACGGGCGTCTCTCCGGAGCGGTACCTGTGGCGGCTGTGCATGTCTGCCCACCTGGTGCCGCGCTGTCTGATTGCGGCCGTCTGCTACAACCACTTCACGCGCCTGCTGGACGGGGTGCCGGCCGAGCGCCGGCGACGCTACGACCAGCTGGTACGCGCCGGCTTCTGGGCCAATGTCACCGAGCTGGCCAGTCTGGCCTGCTGCACCTATGTCTCCAACAAGGAGAACTACCGTGAGTGATCGCCGGGGATAGAGGAGGGGAGGGGTGGGGAGGGAGGGAGGTGTCGCTTGGTGCCGTCGGCGGGGTTGGTGCCAACTGAGACTGGTGAAGAAACCGTGTTCTTGGGAAATGAAACACGTTGGGAGGATATAATCTTTATGGAAGCGTTTTGCATGCAAATTTGACACAAGAATCCGCTTTATTTCTGATATACATTATTCATGTTTGCTGAAAGTTTTACATTCAAGGTGATTATGGTAATTGAATGGAATTATATGAAGCGTATAGTTTATTTAAGTTCACCGTCTGCAAAATATTGTTAAAATTAGCTTAAAGGAAGCGAGTAGTCGAATGAGAGGGTGTTTATCAATGTGAACATGATTCCGAAATGAAATAATGGAATTTCAGCAGCTAATTACCTTCATTTTGGCGTTTTAACAACGGACGTAAACAATCAACCAACCAATTAGTTGCCTAAGATTAGCTCGCACATAATTGCCCAAGCTGGTTTGCTAATTTCGGGCTTGAATTGTGCCTCGCTTGCATGCATACTGTCACAATAACGCGAAGTAATTACGATTGTAATGATTTATATTAAGTTTAATCTCCCCTCCCCTCTACCGTGTAGCCACCCCCGTGAAGCCACCCAGTGTAGCTGACGCTCCCCTCCCCTCTGCCGTGTAGCCACCTCGTGTAGCTGACGCTCCCCTCCCTGTTCTGTCCCTCCTGCAGCCGTACACGAGAAGGCGTTCTCGTTATTTTTGTTCTCGTGTTTCGTCTACATGGTGGTATCGCTGGCCGCTGAGCGCGAGGCGTTCCCGGCGATGACGCCCAGTCAGCGGTCTTCACATCGGTGGAAGGCCTTCGTCGCTGTTCTTTACGTGTCGCTCATCATTGGTCTGCTCTACTACTTCTGGAAACATCGATTCTATTGTGAAGAATTAGGTGAGTATGCGCCTGGTGTGCACTGTGCGTGAAGTGAAGAGCCACTGCTCGTTTCTCAGGTGGCCTAATCGATGGCCTGCATTGCTTCTTAATTTCTAGATGGTTTAATATTGGGTTGACAGGATTATCATGTGATTTTACACCCAAATTGACATCCATCTGTGCCGTACTAGAATGTTTGCGAGTTGAGTCTCAGATTTTCCCTACTGAGCATATGGTACTTTCAGATCCACTATCAGTTATCTAATTTCAATCAGCTGTCCAACGACCCACCAAATTGGGACCACGGTGGCCCACCTGGCCGCCTAGGTTAGTGATTCTTTCACGGAGCTGGCCTACCGTCTTGTCACACCATGCCGTTTTTAACATATCAACTCGATTATTTAGAATACAATTTTAAGCATTTTTGCATACATGTGTGAAATGCACTGGTATGCAAATAATATCCAGACACATTAAGGAAACTGTGGTATTTTCTTTATTTCTTGCGAATGCTATTTTTAGCAATGCAAATGCGATTTCAGTAATAAAATCATCTTTCCTTCAAGACTGGCCGCTCACGCTGTCATGCTGTGGATGATTCTCTCGCTCCGTTTCATGGCTAGCTATTGAAGCGTGTACCAAATTAACTCCGCGACCTCCCGACATAGCCGCGGGCGGGCCTCAGACCGTACGCTCAGCTCTGTTCATCTGCCGGTCGGTGTGTCCGTGACCGGCGCTCCCCGTGGGAGCCGGACCAGATGGCCGCTCACCGGTCGTGGGGCAGCGCGCCGCGCGCGGGGAGGGGGCGCCCGGTCGATTTTGGCCGCCCGGCCCACGCTGGCCGGCGGACGGTGGCGGCACTGGCGCCGCAGCCGCAGCCTTGGCCAGCTGGTGATGAATGGACCGATCGCCCGGTAACCGGCGCTGGTCACCGACAACCCCAACACAGTGCTGACGTCAGTGGCTCAATGACAATCCACCCGTGACGTCAGTGGCCCGTCCAAAATCGACGGAAAAAGGCGAATACTTGGTAAACGCTAGGACAAACGCGCTCAAATGTTTTTTTTTTCCAAAAGCTTATTGCAAGGCCTAACTACATTATCCTTCTACCCTTATTCCGGTATCTACCTTTGTACATCCAGTCTCCATATTCAGCAGTTGGACAGTTTTTCGTTGATTTTTCGCCGGTTCCCATGGACAGTAATACACCGTGTTCCCGGGCTGGCAGCGCCGGCCGTGGGCGCGCGGAATGACGTCAGAGGTCGGGTCGTAACCGGAGGTCCGGACGCTGGGACACTGGCCGGCCGTAATGTATGGTCTCGAGAACGGCGCGACGCCCCCGGATTGGGCTTTGTAATCGGGATAGGAGGCAGGCTGAGGGAGCTCGGTAGCCGGGATAATTAGGATGGTTGAGAGAGCTTCGGAGCCGAGCTGGACTGAACGGGAGGCTGAGAGGGTTCGGATTGGGAGGAAGGTTGAGAGGGTTTCTGAGACGTGACAGTAGGACAGGCTTATACTAGGAAAGAGTGACGGGTTGAGACTGAGAGTTTTCATTAACCGGTAGAAGGATGAAGCAGATCAGGATCGGTAACCGTTGCAGGGGTAGGCTGAGAGAGCCTAGTTACCGCTTGCTAGTTAATGCAGTGGAGCTAGCTGCATATTGTACGCACGGCCGCTATCGCATACAGAAAATCCCCTAACAATATCGGGCTCACTTTGCTGGCGCTGAAGGTAGGTACTACCGTTCGCGCTGATCTTCCGTAGCGCTGGTGAATCCCTTGTAATAAGGGCCGGTGCGTGTCCGGAGAGCGAGCCATAATCAGCGCCGTGCCATCGCGCTGTGAACATCCCGGCGTATCGTGTTGGACCGTCCCGGCGGCCGGCGCAGGGAAGTCGCCGGCCTGTCCCCAGCGCCGTGAGTGCCACTCCAATTTACAGCGGACAGTTATAGTCGGTTGCCGGGGAGCTGAAATTAGCTGGATGGCGCCTCTGAAGTTGATATGGATGTGCACGATAAAAGACATGCATAGTTTGGCTCGAGGCCGTCCCTGGATGCCACAGCACAGGTGTGACAAAGAATCGCAGAAGCGTTGGGTGCTCCTGCTGCAGTAATAAGACCAAGGCCCTATATACCAATAAGACGCTTGAAATAGTGTGACCTTTCTTCAGGACATATGTCTCCTGCTTTATGACTACAATTCTTACTTTGATATACGCACGGTCACGATGACAAGTTATTTGTATTGCTTTGTGATAAGGTCTCTTGTTCGGGTTAGATTCATTATTAAAAATAGTAGATACCCGATGTAGCTCTTCATGATCGTCACAGCTTGTAATTACCAGGCTTCATCATATTATACTGTAGTTGGTCAGCGACGATTGTTGAGTCCGGGCCCATAACCAAGACAAACTGACGGTGTTATAGTACGTAACTAAGACGTACTGACTGTGACCGAGTCCATAAGCAAACTAAAATGACTGCACCCGAGCTGTGTTCGTAACAGACTGTTTGTGCTGGAGTCCATCTGATACAAAACTGACGCCTGCTCTCCTGTTTGCAGCGTTCACCTGGTTCTCGTTTTGCGAGTACGGCATCTGCGCATGCATCATGGTGTACCACCTGCTGGTGATATACGACATCCCAGAGTTCTGGCTGACCGTGGGCGTGCCGCTGCCGGCCGCCGCCAACGGCATCAGCGCCCCGCTCAAAGTCGACTAGTCGCCTGTTCATCCGACTCGCTCACCCGCCGCCCGCTAGATCAGCCAGGTCTGGAGAGACCCGAACTTATGCCATCATCACCGGGAGAAGCAGCGGCGGTGTCGGCGGCGGCTGGACAGGGAAGTGCCGGGATGTAAGGATTTGGGGTCTAGCGCGCAGCACCACGGCGGGGTGCTGAGTCTCGAGGACGTAGGTGCCTGGCAGCTCGGTGAGCCATGCTAGAGTGAAGCGTAGTCAATCGAAGGTTTCGTCACCAACTTTGCTAATGATATGGCTAGCCCCATTGTGTTCATGAGTGAGTAGGTGCTGAAGGGCTTGACACTGTGATCACTGTTTTAGAACAGATCAATGGACGTTAAGTGATTGGTTCTACTTCGCTAGTCGCTCGGTTGTGCAAGATCAGTCATGTTTGCCATACTGCTTTAATGTCGCTAGTACGCCACTGAATATGCAATTTTTTTTTTTTTAAATTTAGTCCGAACCTTTTGATGGGAAGGATTCACAAGGACAGAGCCACCGCTAAGCGAAGCTTGTTGCGATGACCCTGCCCTCTACCCTCCGATCGCGCAATTCCGATTCTATGGCAGAATTTAGAGTCCAAAGTTTAACGTGCGCACAAAGCCGCGCACGGCCGGTCCCCTCGCTGACTTCCCCTGGCTACGGCCTGCCACCAACCGCAACCATACCTGTCAGGAGGCCCATAAATGTCGAGCGCCCGTCGCGCTTCGAACCCGGACTGTTGTAACCGGGAACACGTGCTCTCACCACGCGGAGTCCAACGCTCTAACCAACTGAGCTACGGGACCGGCTAAAGAACATATTGCAATATGCAATATGTTCTTTATGCGCGCTGGGGCAGAAGGTTGTTCTGGCCATCGTTCAATCAATGCGCTTTCCATTGAATCTCGCGCAGTATTATATTTGGTAGCTATTTTTTGACGAAAGCCTTGTTGCGACGTTTTGTTGCGACAATCCTGACAGCCAAAGCATACGTGTGATGATTGATCCGATCTCTGTTGGAGATCATCCATCTTAGCCACTTTCATGAGCTCATGTTCTCTCGATCTTCATCGTTCATATGAACTTATCCGGAAAGTTTCCAGTCGTCTCTTTTCACTCTTGCCATCCTTATCTCGCTCTGTTGCAAAGGTTTCGAGTACCTGTTCGCGAGTCTGGTCGGCATTCCGCCTCCAAATTGGGCTGGCCAATCTGGCCTCCGCTCTTGGCCGTTTTTAGCCGCAGCACTCGCGCCACGAATGGAGCTACCTCTCCACTAGTTCCCTTCCATCAAGCCTGTCACCGTGATATGGCCGACGTGTCCAGGGCCTCGTTTCATAAAATTCTGCCGTAACTTACACCTTTCCGTAATTCACACCCTTTCAAACTACGGAGCGCAAATAAATCCGTTTCACAAAGCCACAACTGGCATTGTTTACACCTCCGTAACTAAGCACATTTGCGTAGTTACCGTAATTTATCAAGCGTCCTACAAATTACAATTTCATGTCAACACTTATTTTTTTACGAGAATTTATAAAACAATTATGTTGAATTTAAATCTTAAAAATTATGTATGAAAAAACAAAATTGATATTGATGACTATCCTTTATTGAAACAAAATATTAAAAACAGCAGAAAGCCAGCTAAGCAGAAGTGCCTAACTACGAAAGTGGCGCGGCGCGGCGAATAAACAAAATTCCGATAGTGGCCACAAAAAGCGACTGGTACAGAAGATTTGCAGTTTCTTTTTCTCATTTTGGCTGTTCTTTCTTCCTCACCGGGCTCAACATTATAAAATATATTAAAAATTAGCTTCGAATCTTCACATTAATTCAAAATCACGCAACATTTTTGTGCGTAGTTTACACCACTGATATCAAGAGCTTGATAAAATATTTGGCGTTAATTACGTCGTTTTATGAAACCCAAATGGCATCAATTGGTCCGGAATCGAGCATTTGCCGTAAATGAAGCTCCGTACTTTCGATGGCGTGAATTACTCCGGTCTCCGGCTTTATGAAACCGAATTGGCATCAAATACGCCAAATCTGGCATAATTGACGGAACGCCGTAAGTAATTCCTTTTATGAAACGAGGCCCAGGCGGCGTGGACTATAGAGGCGAGCAGTCCTGACCGGTCGGCGCAGTGGGTGATTTGGCAGGCAGCATCGTCGGGTCCGGTCAACTCTGGTCTATCGGAGCACCGTAGGGCAGTGACACTCATCTGCCGAGACAAAGCCTGCCCCGCCCTCCGGACCGAAAATCAGCGATGTGACATTTCCAATTGAGAATTCTCGCAGATAGTGTGTTTGCAATCTTACTGATGTTTGAATGTGATTGGTGAAAGTATGGAAGTATTGTATTTCATCTTTCGCACTTAGCTGAGTAGTTCTAGAACAGCAGCTTCATTTCATCGAGCATCTTAGCTGCTGCTAGGAAACATTGGCACACAGGCATCTATTTTTATGGCCTAGGTGCCTACTGTTTTTCTATTTTCAATGCAAAGTACAACATTTGCACTGCATTGTTTATTATTGTTGACTATTTTCTGGAGCATGTCAATGTCACCCTTCGCAATCATCCTAACGCTAAGAATCCGACAGCGTTTCGTTCAATTCTGAGGTGAGCAGTGATTATCGTCTGGAAGTTTCATGTGAAGTCCCAGGTTTCGTGAGTCATGTGGCGGTCACGTGTGACGCCCGCGCTGGCAGCTCACGTCCTCCCATCGACCTGTGAGAGGCTGTGCCATTGGGTCGTCGCCATCGCTTCTCGTCCGTGGTCTACCCAAGGCTATAGAACTCCGTGGCGTCTACCGTGACGTCACGCCACCCCCACTGGTTTGAGGCCCACGGTGACGTCATGCCATTAGCTCGGACGACCGTTTGGATCCGAACAGGCATTGTTGGTTCGTATTATTTGTTGCCGTTCAAACTAAGAGTTCGTTTCGTGTCGGTGATACTTTGTGTTGTCGGTAAAGACTGTTGTGCTTGTTTAATAATGCCTGGTGGCGGCACAGACTGCATCAAAGCCAGAAGTTCTGCCAAAAGTACGAAGAAATATGTAATTGGCAATAGTTGCTGTTGTTCTTCGGAACCCAAGCAATCATCCTCAAGCGATGCAATATTATTGAATCTCATATTTTGTCCAATCTCAGCAGACAGTAGCCTGCGATCACCGTGCATCCTTCGGTACCCGTGCCTGCCTGCTGGTCTCTTTCAGAGCGGGCTCGGGCGCTCCATCGCCCCCCTCCTTTGCTCCTTTGCCGCTCGCGGAATGGCGTGCGGGTGGCCGGTTTGGTGTGGCGGCCAGGAGCGTTCCCCGACGCCGCGCTGTTTCCCAGTCGCCACCCCGTCACATACGAATGGTGCGTGCATTTTTCTCACTTCATTCTTACTCGAGCACAATCAGTAGTCGGCCGTCAGGGGCCGGTAGTGTTTAGGGGGTATTGTGGGGTGACATTTGGGCCGCGGGGATGTCTCGGCGCCGGCACGGCGGGACCGGCCGGCTGACGACACGCACCCTGCTGTTATTGGGGAGGGTAGGCACGGGAAGAACACTGCACTGGTTATAATGGAGCTGTGCTCAGTCTGATTGGGTGGAGGGGTAGGAGAGCAATCATGTGCAAGTGAGAGCAGTGTCATGTTTGGTTGATTGTATTTTGAACTTGAAGATTGTTTGCTCTGTTCGTGATTCTGAATGTGCATTGTGCACGGCATGTGGAACGGAATCTTTGCAATGTGTTGCGTGTGCTGCGTAGCCCATTTGCTGACATGTACGTTTTGTTTCCACACGAATAGCAATCAAGACATAAGAGATTTGCCATCAATGCATATGCGTCGCGGTGATTGTGTTCGTTCTCGACAATCGAAACTGAAATTTGTCACTGATTCACACGGGTAGAGAACATATGAACGGGCATTTCACATAGCCAAAAGTACCTTTGACATATGAGCTGCGGAGAGGGCCGCATCATTCTGCTTGTTTCCTAAAGATGAAGGATATTGCCTAGTCAACTCGATGCGTTTCTTGAAAATGATTATTGTTTGGGTTTAGGTAAGGTGAGTGTGCGATTACGATTATTATTTGGACATGGACATTGGACGGGTTTCTATTAGAGCTCGGTAGAGATGCTGTGGAGATGTGATGTGTCGAGTGCGATCGATGATACCACAATCGAGAGGTGATATACATTAGTCTCACATGTGAATATTACCGGCACGGTGTGACCGGTATTTTTTTTTCCCTGGCATTTGTTACATTTTGCTGTTTTATAATGGTCTCTCTGTCTCGCCTGGTGCGAATGCTGCCGCCGGTTTACGATGTCCTCGGCGGACCGCTCGAGGTACCGCCCGGCTCCAACGCGTGTTGCTGGACCCGAGTGTCCCGGGTTCGAGGCTCTGTACCTGCGCCTGTTTCTGCCCTCTACAGAGGCGGCCCTGTGCGCTCGTCACCTGTTGTATTGTCCAGTCGGCGGGCCCGCGCTGGGCCACATTGTACGAGCGTCTGGCCGGTCCGGATCCGGGCGGCCAAACGTAGATTACATTCGGGCATACCGCCCTAAATACACTTCTCACAAACGAATGGCAGCTGCTGTGGGGCGTCGGGTGGACACTGGACAGGCATGGATCTCCGGCCCTATACAAGCAACATAAAATATGCGGCGTACAGCACTCAGAGAACCCAACGGCCTGTAGCGACCATCGAAAGCACTCCTTAAATACCCTGAGCGTCTCCCCGCCCTCTCACAGCGCCTTTCGAGCGAACATCGCCAGTTTAAACACGGTACAAATAGTCATGTCCACCCGGCTGTAGGGATATAGTATATATGTACACTCACTTTGGTCTGTCCAGCACTCGGCTCACACACGTCACTGTTTGCTGCCATCTTGTCGGTCGAGCTGCGCGATCATCTCGTCAAACTCCTGGGCCTTCAGTTCGAACCTGGCCAGCTGTTCGCTGAGGGAGACCACCTGCTGGTCGGCCGGAGGGGGTGGGCTGGCCGCGCCGGCCGCTGGCGGTCCCTGCTCGCCGCCGGATAGAGACGCCAGCGGTGGCGCCGCCTGCCACTGGCGGAAGAACGCGCCGAGCTCCGAGTCCGAGCTGGCCTCGCTGAACGGGGTGCGCTGTGGACAGACAGACGACGGTCAGGAACGGGCGGCACATAAACGAACGGAGGGACGGCTGGCGGGTCGCAGAGGGCTGAAAGGACGGAAAGGGAGTAAGGAAGGAGAAATGTGAAAAATTATCAGGGGGTGGACGATCAGACGCAGGGTCAAGGACGGATGGGCGGAGGGTAACAGATGCTGGCAGGTGATCGGGACCACTTATCAATTATGCATCAGCGAGCACGCACCCAATATTTTCCGAGAAGCTGGTAAAGGCTGCCAGGTGGGAAAATGAGGCAGCAGACTGCGGTAAAATGATTTAATGTTGCGTAACCGGTGCGGAATAGTCCTCGTAGTTAACGTAAATTTTCATGGTCTTAAAAAGACACGCAGTCACGTGTAGTCCCGTTGAGAGGTTCCGCTGCTGCTAATAATAAGCTACATAAAAAGTCTCGAGCAAAGTACCCAGCTACCTACCCCACTGAGTGTGCCCTGACGAGACCCCAGGGTTCGGCAGCCACCCGAGCCGAACCCAGTAGCCTGGGTCACAGACAGGGGCCAGTCGCCGTTCTCCGTCCTGAGCCCACCCCTTACATTACGGGCGGACGAGCGCCGCCCCGCCAGGCGCCCGCCGGCCCAGAAACAACCTACCAACTCTACCATGACAAAGTCGTCGGCGGACGGCGACGGAGGCGCGGCTCCGGGCGCGGGGAGGGCGGCGGCGGCGGCCACCGGCCGCGGCTGGTCCGACACCACCCTCTGCGGCGGCGCTGACGGCTGCGGCGCCGGCGGCGCGCTGCCGTCCGCCATGGTGACGTCCGCGCCGGCGGCGGGCGCGGCGGCGGGAGGGGGAGGCTCGCCGACCAGTCGGAGGAACGGTACGTCACCGGCCGGAGCCGGCTTCTCAGACGGATCGTCGGCGAACGCGGCCACGCGGCGACGCTGATCGCTGCGAACAGCAAGAGTAGACATCAGCGCCGGCTCAATGACAGGACATTAAGCAGGGCTGCATACAGGGTAGGACTCGTCACCGGGAGATGCTATTGCTTGCTGAGCGCAGACACGCTGTGACAGCCCGAGTGGTTATACCTTCTGCAGGACTGCTGCCAGCCCAGCAATACAATACATAAACGTTGGGCAGTAACAACTCATTGCGAATGCCTACTCCAGCCTGCAATTGCGGATCAAGCACAGCCACTAGAAGCTTCATTAAAACCAACTACACATAATGTTATGAATGTAGTGAGCCCACACAGATGACAAACAGTCGTCCAGTGCCGACTTTAGAGACAGCACGCTACCGAACTCACCTGTCTGTGGAGGAGCCTCCGGTGGTCTTGGTGTCCATGTTGGAGGACGAGGAGGAGGAGGCGCCAATCATCTCCACGCTGTCACTGAAACACGGCACACAATAGATCGTACTTTCCGCCGCCCATTTAGCACAGAGGGAGGAGGGGTGACCAGTAACGCCACCACACTATTGTTAACCCGTTACGGCGGCGAATGGCCATCGGTGCAAGATAACTACATTCTTCTTTACAACAAACTTACTGTCGTTCAAAATCGAAACCATATTGAACTGTTCTGCTCAACAAGATTTATCGAAAATGGCAAATAAGGGCAACTGGCAAATGGTTATTAAAAATGCTCGCTACAGATGCGTAAAATGGTCAATAACTTACGAAACCCACTTATCACTCCCATCCCGTGAGCTCAGATCTGACCTATCCCGTGAACACTGACCTGACTGAGCGGGGCCGCCGCTCGGCGAAGCCCGTGACGCGGCGGACCCGGGGACTCTGCTCCGGCTTGAAGTGGTCGCTCTTCATGACGATGGGCTGCGCCGAGTGTGCCGAGATGGCCAGCTTGGTACGGTGGTAGAGCGTCAGGTTCAGCGTGCAGACCGGAGTGCTCACCTCACCGATCGCCATACGATCGCTGGCTTCGCCTGTCGACAGTAGGTGAGGTACGGAGGGGATTACACCGCCATACGATCCATACGATCGCTGGCCTCACCTGTCGACAGTAGGTGAGGTAGGGAGGGGTAAGGCGGGGATTACACTGCGGTCACTGAGAATACGCGCAGGAGTCAGAACTCTGTATCCTGTACCGTCAATGAATTAAGTGAGCAAATGGTAGCAGAGATTGGACTTATGTATAGCCGAAATCCATTTCATAACACCTACGCTAAAGGATGTTCGCCCTCTGTACGAACCGTGCATAATAAGCTGCGCAGTATTGCACAGAAACATACAAAAAAGACAATGTTATGATGCGTAAAAGTAAACAACAGCTGATCAAAACACACAGGTGCACACTCAGTCCGAAACTAGCAACGGCATTTCGCGGACGTAAATAGTTTCCAGTCTTACACTGAAATTTTGTCATCACAAGTGTCGCTGATTCACAACAGCACAAACTCCGTAACCAGCCGTGGGACCATTGCGATCCCACGGCTCTTCACTCACAAACAAGCCTTCCCGGGGATTCTGCGCCACTCCAAACAGTAAAGGCCGCCGTCCACTGCGACGGAATTCCGTCCGGAGTCCGTCAGGAATGTCGCCGCACGCTGACCGCATCCGGACCGCAGACGGAAAGCTCACGGACACTTGCTAACACTTTGTGAAGAGCAATTATCAGTTATTACAAAAGAAAATATAGCAATTTACTAGCATAACATAGTGCTGCCATGTCAAAGAAATTATGTTTACTTACTTCATCTTGAAAGAGTTGAAATTATTTCTTAAATTTGCAATTGAAAACTCGAAGACGGAAGAATGTACCTGTCCGCGTCCGTTCCGCCTGCGTTCTCCGCAGAAAAGTTCAACATGTCAACTTTGTTATTTCGTTTCCGTAGCAACCGCTTCCGAAACGCATGCGGAGAGCTGACGGAAAATCAACAGCTGATTGTCGTTCGGATGCGGTCCGCACGGAACGCACACGATTTCCGTACGGACCGGATGCGCCCATAGGGCTCTGTGTTAAATTCCGTACGGACCGCAAGCGTTCCGCACAGTGGACGGCGGCCTTAAAGGGACCCTCCCACCTTCAAAAAAGTTAATGAATTGGCATGAAAGTGATGTCGCTCGGTTCAGAAAGAGCAAAAACGAATATCTACCAAATTTCATCGAAAAATATTCACCGGTTTTCAAGATATTAGACTTTTACTTTTGTTTACTTTTTGGGATCTCCGCTGTTCCTAGCGACTTTATTTGAAAGTGCGGCATTTGTTGCGCGCAAAGCAGCATATACCACCGCGTGCTACCAAACGTTTTAGTTAAAGATTTAAAATCGTTAGATCTCCGCTGACGTCACAAATTCTAAGGGGGCATACCAATGCATTAGCCCCTTAGAATCCGAAAACTGCAAGTTTGAAATTCGATATCTCCGAATTAAAGCATTTTTCGATGTTTTGAGTGCCCAAACCGGTATTTTCAGGCCATGGCCACCAATTTGGCTATCTCAACTCAAATCTAATGTTAAGATGGGAGGGTCCCTTTAACACCAAATACACTCAAAGACGTTAAGACCCCCCTGTGTACAGACTACAGCGCCGGTGGATTGGACACAAAACACGGCGACCGGCGTGCCAGCTGCTGAAATAACTCGGTCACACTGACACGTCCGACGGTTTTCGGTGTGTGCTGTCTCCAAGTGGCAGGCTAGTGCCAACTTAAGAATTGTGCCAGTACGGGGAGCTTTTTGTAAAACTGGTGACAGAGACTGACGCTAGTCTCGATGCAGTTGCAGACACCCACCACGTATCCTGACCTGCATATTCCAATGATAGCTATAACAGCGCGGCCGAGGCCTAGTGCTGGTAGGCTGGTGTCATAACAGATTGAACGTACCGATAAAGAAAATGGCATCGATATTGCTTTGCAGACACTGGGTGCCAATGCAATGAAAGGATGCTAATAAAGAGACTGGTGCGAGTTCGGACTATCATCGTAAGATATCGGTACCATTACCGATGTCCACATACCGAGTCCCTGCAGGTCCGGCTCGCCGATGTAGAACTTGTAGAAGATGATGTGCGACTCCTGACTCTGCTGCCGAGATAGTTTGTAGCCGACCGTGAGACGGGTGGTGACCAGCAAAGACTTTAGCAGTACACCTGCGGCAGACAGTAAAACACAGTGAGACACAGGAGCAATGAGATGGTGACACCGCTCAAATGTGATCAACGTTCGACTTCGTGGGTTGCTCGTTGTCGTGTTACACTGCATGGCTCAGGCTCACCTTGTTACACAGTACGTGCTCTAGAATAAAAACAAATAATCTCACGAACACTACGCTTCTCAGCTTCTCCGCCGCCGCCACTCAGGGTATACTGGCCGCCACTGACCGAGCTGGTTGACGACGGTGGCCGGCGGTTTGGCGCCGCTCGGTGCCGAAGTGTCCAGCGTCAGCGCCCACTGCTCCAGCACCAGTGACACGCCGTCGGCCGTCTTCAGCGAGATCTCCACGCAGAAGCTGGTGACGGGCGCCGCCCACAGGCCGCCCGAGGACATCAGCAGGTGCTTCACCTCCTTCACCACCTCGGGCATGTCGGCCAGCGACAGGTTGAACTGGCGGCACGGCGTACCGGTCAGAGCGGCAAACACCGCGCCGGAGTGCCGCACACGTGTAGAACTGCGCGGACGGAGGTGGGAGCATAGCCCCCCTAGAGGGTTTGGACATTTAGCGTAGGAGCCGAAAAAACATCGTACATATCCGATCAGAAAAAAATCAAATAAATTTCCTCATCGTATATATAAAAAACAAATACATTTCCTCGCAAATGTTGAAAGCAAACGATACTTTTGCCTGGGATTCGGACCATTTATTGACTTGCGAATTGCAACTGTGTACATTCTTTTCACATGCCGCTGAGACAGTTACATGTCATCTGCCCTTCGTATGTCATCCTCACCTAGCTCACTCACTACGTTCCCGTCGCCGATAAGTAAGTAATTCCTGCACTCACCCAATCCGGAACATCGGCGTGCACCTTGCAAGGTGTGTGGATCTTCTTGCCCAGGCGAGACTCGACGATGATGTGCGCCATTTTTCGACACATGATGTTCACCATGTTCTCAAACTCCTTTCTGTCACAGTCCATGGTGAGCACTTTATACTTGGGGGCCGGACGGCGATCACTGGAAACGGACGCACATAGAGGCTCTGTTATCTATGGCAAGCGAACACAGCGAGCGAAGATCTCCAAAGATAAGATAAGACATATAGGTATGCGACTCAGAGCCGAGGAGAGTTTATCTGTAAAAAATTTCATTATGAGCGGCCCGACCCGACCCGGCCCCGCCCCGTGAGGCATTTCGTTGCCTTACATCTCGGGAACCGCTCAATCGATCGACAATCGGTCTGCAGCATTAATAAACCCCAACTTTCAATCAAGCATTCAACATTTTTGCATGCGCGTGGATGCCCGTCACGGCACGTGCATCTTTCAAATCAGAGGAGTAAATATTTTTTGCTTTTAATTTCGTTCCTGTTGGAGATAGAGCTTAGCGGTAAAGACCAAAAAGATTCTTTGGGAAGAGACGAATCCAATGATACCCAGTTTTACCTTCTCAGGTCAGTCATTGACCTTCCAGGTCAGGTCAAACAAAAACATATTGCTGTTTTGGGTCACCGTTGGATATCAAGTGCGCTGCTTATAATATACCGATGACGATGCCGTTTTCTGGTGCCAAGCCAGCTAGAACCTCTTTGTCACACTACCCGACCAGAATTTTGCGGCTGAGGTCATTTCAGGTCAAGTTAGGTCAAGGTCAATTATATGTGTTTGTATGTCTGTGTGTGTCTGTGTGTATACTGATGTGTGCACCGATTGTTTTTGGGTCCACATTACATGAAATCATGCTCTGAGAAGCTTTTACCAAAAATGCAGTAAAAAAAAAATCAAAAAAAGTAAATTCAGCTTGCCTAAAACGCATTTATCTTAGATGACCTAGGTTGACCTTGACCCTGACCTTGACCCCTGTACATCGTCGAACAACATGTTCCATGATAGGTGGGAGGTAACACTGGCAAAAAAGGCCGAAATCAGGGTGTCAAAAGCTCGCAAGACCCATGGCAAACGCAAGATGTTGAGAATTGGCCATTTGGGTCATGACATGACCTGAAAAACAAGGTCATATCTCCGAAACCAAAAATCACAGAAACTTGAAATTTTCAGTGGACATCAAGAAAGGATAGAGGAGCAGCTATACGAAAAATCAGCGTTCTAGCGCTAAAAATGTTGAGTGCAGAGCAGAAAGACTACCTGGGGGGGGGGGGGGGGGTTGCCCCCCCCCCATGTGCGGGCGAGGGTTAATAATTCCACAATGACTGAGCCAATTACACACTCAAAGTCGGCGCATATGTGATAGCACGCCTGGCGATGCATTTACATCACAGTTGGGGTGCTACCGCACGTGCGCAAGTACGGGGGTCGCTTTCACAACTTAAAATAAGAGGCAGCCCCACTGCACTGAAAGCAGGTGCCGTAATTTGAGAATTGAGATCAGTTACAAGGTTGGCCTGCAAAGTCAGTTAGGAGTTCATGTAGCACTTGCGCGCGCGCGCGCGGTTCGCTATTGCGTTCGCTTGTTTATCGCCCCAAAAGGCAGTTAACTAGTTTATTAGGCATCTCAGGCCAGGATGACCCAAAAGTCTGAACTCCCCACTCCCCTGCATCTGTCTCATTGTGACTAAGCCTCGCTCTTAAATACCTCATCAGACCATTAATATGAGCTCTCATTGGGTGCAGCTGTGCATGAATTGCCCAGGCTGGGTCTAGTTTGACTGGATGTCATGTAGCTGCTTCTCACAGGCAGGACTACATTCTGTGGAATTCACAATCACACCAAACAAAGCATTGAGATTGTGTCCTGTATTGATCATTGATCTCTTTGCTTCTTGACCCTGTGGGGGCCATGGTTTTATTTGTACAAAAGTTAACTGAATGTAACTTTTGGTAAGTGTAAGTGTATAAATAAATACCTACATAAATGACCAGTATAACGCCTTTTGTGGCGACTAACGGAGCGAGCGAGAGGGTGGGCCTTGCACGTGCGAAATTGCGAGGGGGTACCTCCAACTGACTTGTGCACGGCACCTTACTAACCGGTCTCTAGCGATGTGCCAAATTTGAGCACAATCGGCCCAGCCGTTCTCGAGATCTGGAAGCGGCACCCTGCACGTGCGCACGTGCAAAATGGGTCCCAACTGACTTGTGCACGGCACCCTACTAACTGCTCCGTAACCGTGTACCAAATTTGAGCGCAATCGGTCCAGCCGTTCTCGAGATCTGGAAACGACCCCTGCACGTGCGCACGTGCAGCAGCACCCCAACCCTGGCACATGGATATGCATTGCCTAGTGGGTGCCTACCTACATGCCAACTCTCAGCGCAATCGGCCCAGTAGTTACCGAGATATTGCAACAATTACAAAAGTGACACCTCTTGGTTTTGCACGTGGCACGTGCATAAGGGGTCACCCACATGCATCGGGAATAGTGCAATACTTGGTAGAAGGAATGAAGCTACCCTACAAAAATTACCGCATGTAAATCGGTCAAGTGGTTGCTGAGATATAAGCCTCGCAAAAGCGTGACCACGGCCGGCCGGCCGGCCGGCCGGCCGCTCATACTCAGAAATTTCCGTTAATCTAAGGAAAGACTACGCTCGCTTCGCTCGCTCCGTAATGAAAACCAGTATAACGCCTTTTGGGGCGATTAACGGAGCGAGCGAGAGGGTGGGCCTTGCACGTGCGAAATTGCGAGGGGGTACCTCCAACTGACTTGTGCACGGCACCCTACTAACCGGTCTCTAGCGATGTGCCAAATTTGGGCACAATTGGCCCAGCCGTTCTCGAGATCTGGAAGCGGCACCCTGCACGTGCGCACGTGCAAAATGGGTCCCAACTGACTTGTGCACGGCACCCTACTAACTGGTCCCTAACTGTGTACCAAATTTGAGCGCAATCGGTCGAGCCGTTCTCGAGATCTGGAAACGACCCCTGCACGTGCGCACGTGCAGCAGCACCCCAACTGCGGCACATGGATATGCAGTGCCTAGTGGGTGCCTACCTACATGCCAACTTTCAGCGCAATCGGCCAAGTAGTTACCGAGATATTGCAACAATTACAAAACGGACACCTCTTCGTTTTGCACGTGGCACGTGCATAAGGGGTCACCCACATGCATCAGGAATAGTCCAATACTTGGTAGAAGGAATGAAGCTACCCTACAAAAATTACCGCGTGTAAATCGGTCAAGTGGTTGCTGAGATATAAGCGTCGCAAAAGCGTGACCACGGCCGGCCGGCCGCTCATACTCAGAAATTTCCGTTAATCTAAGGAAAGACTACGCTCGCTTAGCTCGCTCCGTAAAAATACTCCCTAAAGAGGCCAAATGCAAATGCACCAGCAAAAGTGAGAATTATGCAGTTGTATAGGGACTGGAGGATGGCCCTTTATATAAGGCATACATATAAGTACTATAACGTATGCAGCACAGACCCTGATTTTAGGCAAAGCAAGCAGTGTCAAAGATGAAATAAGCTCATTCAAATCATTGCCACTGATAAAACACTGTTTGCAACCATCACTTGAGCTGATGAATAATGGCCATACACTATACAGTCAACATATTAGAATTTTTTTGTTAGTTAATTGGGGCTTTAGGGCGCGCCGACTACTTAGGTCATTCAACATATTAGAAAAAGGCAGAGATGGGCATCAACATTCAACCATAAGCAGCCTGACATCGCTCTTCTTACCATTGAGTTTGGCATGCTGGCAAATGTTTCATTTCAGAGCTCTCATAGATATCAAACTTTTGAGAGGTCAGATCAGAAGGGAATGTAGCACATTTTGTCTTGAGGAGAAAGGGTAAGAAAATGAAGCACAACTGCTCAGATACTGGAATATTTCCTGTTCACTTGTTCCATGCAAACAGCTAACAGCAGCTATACCTACTTCTCCAGCTGCCAAACAGCTTGAACAACTTTTCATCACCTCATAATTTATCATTCCTGTCATTCCTGTCAAAGCCACTAGCAGATGTATATTCAGTGTGTGCGACTAGCCAGATTGTCCTGAAGGGTGAATAATGAATATATTCTAGCATTGATGTATGGCATTATTGTCATTTTTCCACTGAAAAATTCAGCTGCTAATGTCATTAGTCAGTATGAGGCACATATGGATGGGGACTGGGGAGGGTGAATGTTACTGCTTCTCACAAGCAAGTGACACAGCAACTGCATTCTGTGGGATTCACTATCAGACCAAAGCCACTAATGGGGAGGAAATGATGATATTGATGGATGAGGAGGAGACATTCACACACATAAATAATTGTTGACTTACTGTGGCTCACATGGCTCACTTAGATTCTAATCAATGTTGCTACGTTATATGACAGATTACGATCGGTATAATGTCAAACCATTGGATCCCCCCCCCCCATGGTATGCGCCCTGTTCTTAACAAGCAAGGACAGGGTCAGATGCGCCATGGAGCTCCAATCGGTCATTCACCACTTGCCTCCTGATTCCTGCATTCCCACCATGCCTGGCCTTCCTTCACATGTCATTCACCCATTTGGTTTGCGGATGAGACAGCATTTGCACTACACTTCACAGCCGTTTCTCTTTCTTTCTTTCTTTGTGAAGCATTAGCACCAACTACGAGTCGAGTTTGTCGACTTGTCGAGTTTCCACAACAATTCACACGCAGACGCACAACACCAGTTCCCTGACTCAAGGCCCACCCACTGGCCCCAGCTTGTGTCCAACTATATTCTTTGGAATTGGCGCGTCTCTGAACGACTTGGGTTTCCCTCCTTCTCACTCCTCTCCTGAGAGCAAGGCTGAGGAAACCCAACAGGTGAGTTAAACAGGTGAGTTATATGGCTGTGCCATACACACACTGCAAAGTGCAAAGCATGAGAATCTCAACAGGATCTCATAATGATTAGTGAATTGTGCAGGGCTACCTAAAGCCAACAACTAGGCTGACTAGCCTCAGATTCTACTAGGTGAGCAGCGAGGCTTAAAACATTGTGGATTTTCATCCTATTGACCAGAGAGTGTAAACTGTAACAGGATATCAAAATTTGACAAAACTGAAATGACATATGAAGACATGT